TGGTGGCCAGCCAGCTGAAGATGAACCAGCAGTGTGCCCAGGTGGCCAAGAAGGCCAACAGCACCCTGGCTTGTATCAGAAATAGTGTGTCCAGCAGGAGGAGAAGGGAAGTGACTGTGCCCCTGGACTCAGCATTGGTGAGGCCACAACTTGAGTACTGTGTTTAGTTTACAGCACCACAGGATAAGAAAGACCTTGAGGTTCTGGAGTGGGTCCAGAGAAGGACAATGAAGCTGGTGAGGGCTCTGGGGAACATGGCTTGTGAGGAGTGGCTGAGGGACCTAGGATTGTTTAGTCTGGAGAAGAGGAGGCTGAGGGGAGACTGTATTGCTCACTACAACTCCCTGAAAGGAGGTTGTAGTGAGGCAGGTGTTGGTCTCTTCTCCCAAGTAACCAGTGATGGGATGAGAGGAAATGGGGTTAAGTTACACCAGGGGAGATTTTGACTGGGTATTAGGAAGTATTTCTAATTCTAATATCGAGGCATTAGAACAGGCAGCCCAGGGAGGTGGTGCAGTCACCACCCCTGGAGGGGTTCAGATAACACACAGATGTGGCACCTGGGGACATGATTTAGTGGTCATGGTGTGCTGGGTTGACAGTTGGACTTCATGATCTTAGAGGGCTTTTTCAACCTTAATGGTTCTATGATCTGGAGAGAAAAGGTCACATTGAGATGAAAAAGAAGCTAGAAATTGAATCACTGATTACAGCAGCCTACTAAAAATGGCTCAGAGAATTCTATTGTTTATGACACCAGTGAGTTTTGAGAATTCCCATGAAGATTTGACATATGTTAACAAAAGACTGCAGACTACAATATTAATTCCCTTATTCAGAGGAAGACAAGGTAGGACAGAAGGAGCTGGTTCAGAATAACTCCTGAAGTTGCTATGTACTGTATACCAGGGAAGTGAGGAACTAAAAATCTTTTTGACAGCCTACTCAGACTAGAATTAGAAGTAAGTTGTCATTACACATCCATCATTGCAACCAGTTTTCAAAGACAAGATGACATGACTGACTCTGGAGACAGGGAAGTACTTAATGAGTCAGGAGATCCCTCTACTATCTTAGTATTAGCAGTGCTACACAGATATGCAATTTCAACAAAACAGCAGTAGAAGAGATGTAAATCTACAAATAACTGAGCTATAACATGGACAAGAAGGAAGATGTGTTTAAGATAGTGTCACAAGGTCTGTTGTGAATTAACAGAAGGAAAAACTAAGACAAAAGTCTATCTGACCGGCAGCTAGAACTCTGAAACTTGCTGAGCTGCACTGTGCCAGAGCCTATACAAACACAGATATGTTACTGATAAGTAACACAGATAAGCAGCTGCAATGCCTTGTACCTGTCTTGACAGTCATGTCCCGAGAGGAGAAACAGACCCAAGTATTTGCTCTAGTCCCTTCTAGAAATCTAAGACAAATCAAATGCATGAGCTTCCACATGTGGATCTAAGCAGATTAATTTGGAACCCCTATCTTATTCCTGTGTTCCCATATTTATAAATCAAGCTAACAAAAGAAACCACTCTGAGAAGTTAACAATGAAATCACAGCTTGCATATGTTATAGAAGAAAACATGGAAGGCATATACTAAACCCATGGCATCTGATGGAGCGTGCCCACAAGTGCCTACAGTGACTGGGAGTCAGCTCAGTTACCTTTGAAAGGTAATTGTGACTGAGAGATGTTCCTGAAAACTGGAAGAAAGCAAACGTCACCCCTACCTACAAGAAGGGCAAGGAGGAGGAACTGAGGAACTGCAGGCTAGTCAGTCTCATCTCAATGCCTGGGAAGGTGATGGAGCAGCTAAATCTGGAAACCATTTCCGGATACATGGAAAAACAGGTTGCCCAGAGAAGCTGTGGAATATCCACCAATCGGGCTATTAAAAATCTGACTGGATGCTGTCTTGGGCAACCTATTTCAGCTGACCTCATCTGAGCAGAAGGGTTGGACTAGATCTCTGAAAGTCCCTTCCAACCTCAACTATTCTGTGAAGACAATGATTTATGTTTCACATTGCAAATACCAGATCTAATTGTGCTGCATTTTATGGTCTGAAGATCCAAATCTCCTATGGAGCTGTAAGTAAGAGCAGGAAAAGAGAACAAGGACTTACCACTCTGTCTCTATCATTCTGCAAGGACGACAGCGCTTTCTTAAGACTCTGCACTTCTGAAGGAGTAGTGGAAGTGCTCCCTTCTGCTTGTTGCTTCACCTCTTCAGTCCTACGTGTTTTGCCCAATTCATCCAGCAGACGGTCTCGCTCGCTCTGCAGGCTTCCCATAGCCTTGGAGAAAGACTGGACTTGGCTGGAAGAGCTTTTCAGTTCCGAAGACAAACGGAGAAGTTCATCATCTTTGGCCCTGAGCTTCTGATTAAGTTTCTCAATCTGGCCCAAGAGACCTCTTTCATCAGTAGCCTTCTGCAGTTCTGTCAGCTCGGACCTCACTGTATCTCGGTCTCTGGCAGTGGAATGTTGCTCCTCTTGTAGCTGAACCATCTGTTTCTGAAGATTCTGCACTAGGCTCTTTTGTTCCTCTAAGTCTGCAGAGTATTTCTGTTTCAAAACGTGAAGCTCTTCATTGGCCTGGTCCCGGCTATCCTGAAGAGAGCTCATGGACTTCCCAAAAGATTGAATTTGAGCTCTGAGGTCTTTGTTTTCATCTGTGACTGCAAGAAGTTTCTGTTCCATTTCCATCAAGTCCCGTGCCAACTCTGCTACTCTCTCTTCTGCTGTTTCTGTTTCATTCCTCATTATCCCTGCATCATGATGCAGGTGCTTCAATTCTTTTCGAAGCCTGTCCTCAGCCTCTCCCACTCTCTTGGCTGCATCCCTTTGAACACATACTAATTCCTCCTCAAGTTCTGTTACCCTTTTCTGTGAGAGGGAGAGCTTACAACTCAGTTCCTGTGCCTCTTCCTCTTGGGCCTTCAGTTGTGCTTGACACTCCATGATAGGACCCCCCTCACGTAATGCTGTCATCTCACTCTGCACCTGAGACAGAGAGGACGTAAGGGTTTCAATCTCTTGAGACATACTGACTTTATCTTCTTTCAAGGCTTCCATGCACTTCCTGAGATCATCCTGAGTACGCTGGGACTCTTTCAGCTCCATTTCTATGACTGCCTTCTCCTTTTCCAGAGCCTGGATCCGCTGAAGCTGTGTTTTGAGTAGTTGTTTCTGTTGGGAGTCCTTTATCGAAATCACTTGGTTCAGGTCTTCTCTATACCGTACCAACTCTGCATTCAGCTTGGCATTCTCAGAGTTGAGGTCATCCATCCGGCTATGAAAGCTTCTCATTTCTTCCTTGAGCTTATTGTTTTCAGCAGCAGCCTCTTGAATTAGCTGGTCTTTTTCCAAGATTATAACAAGATGACGTTCCTCAAGTTGCTTGTAGTCTCTCAGTATGCGGTCTCTATCATCTTGTAAAGATGACATGGACTTGGTGAAGGAGTCCAGTTGTGCCTTCTGCTGCTTACTTTCTTCTCTGCTTATCTTCATCTTTTCAGTGAGATCATCAAGTTTGTAAAAAAAATTGTTCTTCTCATTTTCCAAGGCTTTCTTATCTTCTTCCTCCTTACTTAGCCTATGCTCCAACGCTTTGATCTCTTCAGAATGCTGCTGCTGCAACTCAGATAGAGCAGCCATAACTGCTTCTTCCTTGGCAGACAGCAAACTAATGATCTTTTGATCCTTGGCACAAGTTTCTTCATGCAGCTTATTTGTTAGGTCCTTAGAAGCTTGCAGATCAGACTCAAGCTGTTCACAGCTGAATTTAAAATTCTGGATACTGGTCTCATGTTGCTTGACCATACTCCCCAGCTCTTCTCTAGCCAATTCACATTTGGTGAGAGAATTCTGCAAGTCAGAAAGCTGGTCCCTCAGCCTGCTGATTTCTAACTCCAGTTTCCGCTGTTCATTCTGAGACTCGCTGTACAGTTTCTGAGACCCTTCAACCTGAGTCAAAAGCACCTTTTTTTCCTCCTGTAATAATTCACAAGTCCTTTGATGATGTTGAATCTCCTTCCTGGATTCAGATTCCCAGTCTTTCTTGTTGCATTCCAGCCTGAAAACAGAGAAGAGAAAATCAGTCACAAATCAATGAAGGAGCTCAGTTTCCAAACCCACAGTAACTGGTAAAAACACAGTAAACCCACAGTTTTCATTGATAATTCTAATTTAGAAAAACCACAAAATTAATTTTACTTTAAGAAAACAAGCTGGAAAGATCCAGATGATTAGTCTTCCCTCCATTTAAAATTCAAGGCATCTTTTAACATTCTGACTGCACAACTGTCTGAAGGGAATGGTGATGGGAGAATATTTTTAAAAACTTGTCCAGTGCGATAAATATTTATGTCAATATTGAAAAAAATGGAAGAGGTTAAACAATGAATGTTATCACATCCTTTTTAATAAAATATTTCTGTCTCTCATTCATATGCTTGATGTTCAGTTCATGTTCCAGCAGGTAAAGATACAGCCTTTTGATATTTTGATTACAAATTTTATGGAACAATTCTACTCATGGAAGAATAGTTTGGGTTTGAATTTTGGAAATTCCCAGATGCACATGTTGGTATGTTTCCATAGCCTCATCTTTCCCTCAATATCTACTTTGGGATTAGATTGGAATTATATATCCCAATGCTCTCTTGGCCTGCCAAATTTAATCTCTGAATGCAACAACCCTGTGCAAAGGAATCTATTTCAGATTAATAGAGACTCTAGATAGTACTGAGATAGCTACTGCCCGTCACAGGGAACAGCCTTAACACGAGTACCCTAACGATGAGAAGGAACATTTTACAGTGTCAGCCTCCCTGTACCCTTGTGCAGACAAGTACATAGTAACTCCCTACAATGTTACCTCCAAACCTCTTTGCTATTCACACATGAGTGATTGAGATGAGCCTTATTTTATGGCTTTATTAGAAAGACTAATTCTGTGCTCCATTTTAGGCATTTATTAGTTTTGCCAATCACATGTCACATTTAGCATATTTACAGACTCAAAATTCTTTCTTTCTGGTATACTGCGAAAGGAAAGGGGAATCCTACCTCACCTTTGGCTGCTGCCTTCTCAAAGAAAACACAAGAACACCAGCTGAGTCATTGTCACCTTCTTTACCTGGATATATGGGTCTGAAGTTCTTCCACATGTATAGTCATCTGCTTCATCTGGTCTCTTAGCACAACACAGGCTTCCTCTTTTGAACGTATTTCTTCCTCCTGCTTTTGAATAGTTTCAGTGAATTTCTTCTCCCATGTTTTTGATTCATCTATCACTCTGTCCCTGTCATCCTGAAGGGAAGACATGCTCCTGGTGAAGGCTGCAAGCTGGGCTAGTGTTTTATTTAGGTTGCCTTCCAATTGCTTTGCTTCTTGATCCTTTGTCTTCAGGGAGTCCTTAAGATCACCAACAGTTGCTTCCACATAGTCTTTCTCCCTCTGCAAAGCTGCCAGCTTTTCTTCCATGTTTTTTATTTCCTTTGAGTGCTTGACTTTTTCCTGTTCCAGTCTTTTCTCAAAGTCTTCATCTTTTTTCTTCATTTGAATCTTAATATTCTCTTTGTTTGTCTGCAACTCTTCTTTCACTTTGACACTCTCTGCTAGAGCTCTCGCTGCCTCACTCTGGGTGTCATCCAGAACTACTCTGCAGAGCGCAAGCTCTGCTTGGGCTTTCTTGCTGTCTTCAACTGCTTTAGCTAAACTCTCTTTTGCTGCTTCTACCTCCTTCTGAGACTCACTCTGCAGAAATTCCAGAGCTTTAACAGTTCTTTCTAAACTACTATTCTTCTCCTGGCTTTTAATACAGTCTTTCTGCAGCTGCTTAATCTCCTGCTGTTTCTGTTTCAGTAGTTCCTGAAGCTCCTTTACATGTGTGCTGTCTCCCCTCCAACTGCATTTTAATTTTTCTACAAATTCATTTTGCTTTTCTGAATTTGCTTTACTTTTCTCCTTTGCCATCTGACACTTCTCCTCCTCCAGTTCATGCATCATTCTCTGCAAACTCTGAAGCTCATGTTTCAGTTGCTCATTTTTCATCTGGAAGTCTGTTGCATCTTGTTGATAATTTCCAATACTCCCATTAAGTTCTGCCAGCTGATTCATGAGCCTTTCTTCCAAATCATCCTTCTCAGCCTCTAGCATGTCCTTCAGTTCTGTCACCTTGATGAGGTCGTCTTTGGTTTTTTGGAGTGTTTCTTCCATCTTTGCTACCGTGTCCTGAAGAGCATTCAATTCACGGACTTTTTCTTCCATTTGGGTCTCTAAAGCCCCTTTCTCACCTGCTAAAGTCTCAACACACATGTGGATGTCACACAGCTGTTGCTCTGAAGCCCTCCTATTATTCTCTAGTTCCGTGATTCGCTCTGTGAGCTCCGCTATCTGCTGCATGTAAACACCAAGATCTTCACAAGGGCTACTACCTTCACACACTTTTTGTTCCAGCTCTACAGTAGGAGACTCTGGTCTAAAATTTATGTCCACTTCATTTTCAGCCCTTTCCATTGGTGCTGGTGTGGCCACTGCCTGATTTGTTTCTTCCTCTGTTGTTGTCTGAGCAGCATACTTGTCTACCAGTTCTCTGCTTTCCTTCAGCTTAGATTCCATTAACTGTAAATGACACTTTAAGTCTGTGATCTCTTGATTAAGAGACTCCTTTTCAGCCATTACTGTCTCAAGCTGAGCAGAAAGAGACTGGTAATCCCTCCTAGAGTTCTCCAGATCTTCTTTCAGACTAGCATTTCTAAAGACATCCTCAGTCCTGTGTAGCTCTCCATCTGTAAAGCAAATCTCTGCTCTAAGCTTCTCATTCTCCTCCTCTAGTTCCAGGATCTTTTGTTGCTTTGATTTTGCAAATTTCCTCATTTTCTCCTTCATTCCATCAATTTCCTGTCCAGCTTCCTGTAGCTGCTTGTCTGTTTCCTCCTTTTTTGCTTCAACACTTTTCAGCTTAATGAAAATCTCCTGTTTTTCCTGCCTAACAGTTTCCAAAACACGCTGAATCCGCTCAGCCTCATTACTCACGTTCTCATATGACTGCAGGAGAGTTTCATACTCTTTCTGAAGCTCCCTGTATTTCTCATGCCATTCAGAACTCTCAGCAGCTTGAAAGCATTTCAAGGATTCCACCTCCTTCTCCAGTTTCTCCTTCTCTAGAACAACTCTGTCTAGAGTAAGCGTCAGGTTTTTACAGCATTCATCAAGATTCTGTTTTTCTGTAAGTACTTTATCAACTTCTGCAACAAGTTTTTCTCGCTCTTCAGTGAGGCCTGCTAACTTTTCTGTTAAAGTATCTATTTCTTTAACACGGCCACACATTTGGCTTTCCATATCTGTCAACTTGACACAAAGATTTTCAATAGTGGTTTTAGCATTAGCCAGCTCCTCCTTTAGAGATTTGCTCTCCTTTAGTGCCTCTTTTCTTGAGATAAGTGCAGCTTGCAACTTTCTCTGCATTTGATTCTTCTGTTTAGCTACTTCTGCACCCTCATCTTGCTTCTCCTGAATTTCAAGCAGCTCTGTTTGGAGTCGCTTGTTTTGTTCCTCATGTACCTGAGCCTGAGTTTCCAACTGACTACATAGTCTCTGGACTGCATCCTCTTTTTCCAGCAACTGGGCCTGCACATTATTGAGAGCTTCACTTTTCTCCCTTAACTGGAAGTTAAGAAATTCCATTTCTTCATCCTTTTGGTGCATGAGTGTTCTCAGGTCTTCCAGACTGTCCTCTCTAGAAATTTTTGCCTGACTTTCCTCCAATTCTATCTGAAGACGTGCTGCCCTAGCTTCAGCTTGGTCAGCGGTTCTCTTCAGCCCTTCTGTCTCCAGAAGCAATTGTGCTACTTGGTCTTGCAAATGAAGGACTAATTCTGATTTGTAAGCAAGGTCACTTTGCATATGGCTAATGTTATATTCCAGTTCCTCTTTCTCCATCTGCAATTTTTCAAGTTTTTTTTCAAAATCTTTCCCAGAAGAATCTGCAACTTGTACAAGCTCGTTATTTTTTGTATTTTCTGCTTCCATGCATGGAGAATCCAACCCATCCTGAGTCCCAAGAACACTTTCTGTTGATCCTGTCTGTTCTTGGAGTTGTCTGAGCTGAGCTTGGATGCTCTCCTTCTCTTTGCTCTGCTTGTCAAATTGTTCTTGTAGGATGTTGTAATCGTCTTTCTGCTGTTTCAGCTGTTCTCTGTGATGCCTGTCTTTTTCTTGAGCCTTTTTTATAGTGTCTTTGCGGGACACTAGGGCTTCCTGAAGTTTTTTTTGAAGTTGTTCTTTTTCTTGTTCAAGAGCTGAAATCCTCTCTTCAAGAGCAGACTTCTGATTGTCTTCAAGATTTGCAGCTGCTGAACTATTTTTTTCATTTTCCTCATAATCTTTTTGGCTTTTAATGGTTTCAGTTACTTTGTCAGCTATCGTCTGACTCCCCATGATTTCATCTTTAACTGAAGCAACGTTTGTTTTGCCTTGCAAGCTTTGCCTCATTTCCTCAATCACTGCCTGCAATCGTGCTTCATTAGTCTCTTTATCCAGCAGGTCCTTCCTGATGCTCTGCAACTCAGATTCCTTTTCAGAAAGCAGTTGAATTAGATACTCCTCACGTGGCTGGCTTTCAAGATTCACTTCTCTGCTTAATGTGCTTGTCATGTTTTCTTCTCCTTCCGCCTCTCGAGCTGCTGATTCGTGTTCGCTTCTCAACTGTACTAATTCATTCTCCAATTTGCTAACCTTCTTCAGAAGCTCCTTCCTGTTAATAAGTGCTGCTTGCAGCTTCCGCTTTACTTGCTCATTTTCTTTTTTCAGAAGCTCAAGTTGATTTACTACTATTACCTCAGTTTCTTCACCTGCTGCCTCTGTCTCAGAATGCTGCTCAGATGCACCACTTTTCAGGTATGTGCCTTTTGCTTCTATGTTTTGATCTTTTTCTTCCTGTGCTTTCAATAATAGGCTCGTTTGCTCTCTAAGACTCTTCAGCTCATTTGCTAGAGAAAATTTCTCTTCATTCAGAAGGACCATTTTCTCAGACATGCTGACGCTGATCTCTGTCATCTGTTGGTCTTTCTCCAGCAAGGTTTGCTGTAGGCTCTCTATAGTCCTGGTGTGTTCTCCAACAAGCTGTTCTAGGCTTGCTGTTTCATGTCCCTTTGAGGTTAAGTTTTGGGAAAGCTCTTCTATCTCAGCTGTAGTCTTTCTCAAAAGTTGTTCTAGATCAAGTACTTCACATTCCTTCTTCTCGATCTGGCTTCTCAGCTCTTTCAGTTGCACATCCTGGTCAGAAAGCTGAAGTTGCGCTTCATCCAAGTCTTTTTGCAAGGCTTCAATTTTTACCTCTTTGGATTTAAACTCATTTTTAAGACTCTGGATTTGTTCTCTCAGAAGACTGCTTTGACTGTCTGACAGTCTCTGCTTTTCTGAAAGAGCTAGATTTTCCTCAAGTTGCTTCACTTGCTCTTTCAGTTCTGTTATGGTAGAAAGTTCCTTCATCTGGCACAGGAGCTGATCTTTTTCTCCAGTCAAAACACAACACGCACTGTCAGAATCCTCTATTTTTTTTCTGTATTCCTCAGCCAGCTGGTTTAGCCTATTTATTTCTGCGTCTTTTTCTCCTAGATCTTTCTTATAGGATTCTTCCAATTTCTGCAAAATTATTTGCAGTTCTGTAATTTGGGTTTGTAACTTTATCAGTTCTTGAGACTGAGAGATGCCAGGCTCTGGATCTGCTGTAGAGACTTCTTGCATTGCCCCCATCTCCTCTCTGCAGGGGATAGTGCTACCATCCAACTCATTTTGTGTATCTGTAGACTTTTGCTCTTCGCTCTCAAGAAACCATATCTGGGATTTATCTTCCAGTTGGTCAGATGCTTCTCCTGCTTGGTTACCTGAAGAAGTTTTGGTGTTTGGGCACTTGAGCTGCCTTTTCAAAAAAGTTATTTCTTCTTGGGCTTCTTGTAGTTCCAGCAGCAAAACTGACAGCTCTTTCTGCTTCTCTGCAGCAAGATATTCCAGAATTCCAGGCAGACAACCTTCCTCAGTAAACTGCTCACTTCCACTGGGAAATCCACCTGTTCTTGCCTAGAAGAAAATAATATATTTCAATTTTCCTTTGAATTCTATGAAAGGGTCATTTTTGGAAGTACCCGCTTCCCACATTTTGTGCTTTAAGGATACTCTTTCTTGAGCTGGCTATTGCAATAAATAGTAGCCTCAGTAATAACAGGATGACTTCTCAGGTCATTTCTGCTCGTTGCAGTTTGTGAAATTGCAGCATGAAAGATTCTGGCTTTAGGATTAGATGACAAATGTAATTTCCTATTCCCTTATCTTCCATTCTCTCCTGATTACAGGATAGTATGATTCTGAGATGTTTCAGTTCTCCTGGGATTTTCACAAGCCCTCCAGCACACTGAACCAGCCACATTTTTCTGACATCCTATCCATAATCTCTGAATGAGGAGGATTTGTCCCCTATTCTGTCCATTTACCATGTCAAAGGAACAGTGTATAAGCCCACATTCCAGCCCTTGTTCATCTCCAAAGTGAAAGCACAAAACACACCATCTGGATCAAAGTGCTTGGCTTTTTCCAAATAACTATCTTAAGGTTTCCTCCCACCCCCAAAAACAGATTACAAGAGAAAAGCAGGTACAAATCCTTCCCAGAAAGCACAGATCAGCAGCCCACCCATAAGGCAACATCTTGGGTCATAAAGGCCATCCATTCACCAGCTTGGTGGGCCAGAACAATTTACAGGGAACCATTACAGAAGAGCCATCTCTTAAAGCCTGTTGCAATATCATAGAATCATAGAATCCT